TTCTCCATATATTGATATACTATTAATTACTTTTTCAGCATAAGTCTGTGGCCAGGGTACCGGATGTTGGCCTAGTTTTGTAAATCTCAATTCTGCAGTTTGTAGCCTAGTTTGTGTATATGGGTTAAAGTACCCCTTGTACTCTGCATTAATATCATTCTATTCATTTTGCTGATCAAAAAAAAAAAAAAAAAAAAAAAACTTTTTCGTTTCATATTTATAGTAATATATGTAATTATTTTTGATCGGTTATGTAGAATGTGTATATATGTAATATTTATAACTAACAATATATATATATTGTTTGACAGATTTGACATGCAAGTAGGCAGTAATTCAAGTACTACTGCAATTGTTCCTTTTCTTCTTAAAGAAGACAACTATGAAGACTGGAGTATATACGTTGAAAACTATCTATTAGCCCAAGATCTTTTGGGCATTGTTGAATCTGAGGATTCTTGTTCGGAAGATGTGGGCTATTGGAGGAAAAAGAAAGCTGCCGCTCTACATGCAATTCATATTACATCTTCACCAGAAATTTTTGCACAAATAAAGAAGATCAGCTCGGCAAAGGACGCTTGGAATAAATTAGCCAAAATGCACCAAGAGTGGAAATCTAAGGCAAAGACGTTGAGTAAGATTGACTTGAACATATTTGGTCTCAATTAAGTTCCTGCCTTATTGAAATATACATTTATATATAATTGGATAGACAATATCTTAATCAGTGATTGGGATGCATTGCAGGGATATTAAAAGCAGTTGATGAGATGACTGAAAATCCTCATTATGTAGAGTTGAAAAAAAGCATTTGTAAAGGAGACTGGGATGGTGTAAAGCAGTTTTTTGTTTTCCACAAGTATCCACTAAATACAATAATAGTATCATCAGACTACTGCTTCACTGCTCTTCAATTTGCAATCGATGCCGGGCGAGATAAGATTGCCGAGGAATTGCTAAAGATGATCTCGGAAAGAGATCTGGAAATAATAAAGACCAACAGTGCCAGTGGTGGTCACACGTGTCTTTCTTCAGTTGCATTTACAGGAAGAACACACGTAGCAAGATGCATAGTCCAAAAGAACCGCAACTTACTTATAATTGAAAGTGATAAAGGCTTTATCCCAGTAACTGGCGCATGTTCTGTTGGCCAGAAGGAGATGACATACTACCTTTATTCTGAAACCCCAGCCGAAGTCTTGGCACCACAAAATGGCAATCATGGATTCCGTCTCATCCGCTCGGCTATAGCTAACAAAATGTTAGGTACGTAATTGTATAAGAGAATGCCGTTTTGGGCAAACTGCACTTTTTTTAACCATTAATAGAGAGGCTCTTGATATTCACTTTTCTGATTGTATAATCAAACTTTTATTATTTGAAGTGGTCAGTGGAGTGGTTGATTTTAACTTGATAATTTTATCCTTTTTATTGAGAAACCAGACATTTGTTATGATCTACTTGGACGCTTCCCAAGCTTGGCTGTTGCTACAGACAAGGAAATGCAGGGGGTGTCTCCTATTCTTGCACTGTCCCGTCAACCTTCTGCATTCCCCAGTGGATGCAGGCTTCAGCTTTGGAAAAAACGGATATATCATGGTCGGTATCCATATATTTTAATTAATTTTTAAATTTTACTGTTGTTTGGCTGCTATATATGTTGATTTAATCGACCTGTTTACTGGTATGTTATGTATTGAAGGGTTAAAGGTAAAGTTACCCACCACTTCTTCTGGTGAAGTACGAATTCCAGTTCCTCAAGACCAATACCTCAACAAAAAGAACGTAAGAATACAAGGTACTTGTATTTTAAGTTCATGTAATTAACATACATGCATGGTCATGGAGTACTTATAATTATTGTTTTAAGTTAGCATATATATAACAGGGGGTTTAACTTTTGCAGTATTTGATCGACTTGGTGGATTGAGCTTAACGCTCCTAAATTTTTTCGGTAATTAACTCAGCCTCAACCTCAAGCTCAACTTATTTTTGACTTCTTAGCATTTCTACTTCTACTAGTCTATTGTTATGCTTTTTAATTATGTTAATAGATTCTTGATGTTTGTAGGAATCAAACAAATATATGATTTGAAATTGACACATCGCTATGCCCTACTGATTCTTCACCGTATGTGTAACCATGTATCAACTTTAAAAGTCCAACATCATTTTGATTGTGGAGTAGTCGATGCAATGTTTGAAGCTACCAAGCAGGGCATAGTTGAATTTGTCGTTGAGCTATTGAAAGTCAGCCAACCACTCATTTACTATAACAGAGATCGCAGACACGTTTTCATGGTTGCAATCCAATATCGTCAAGAAAATATTTTCAACCGTTTTTATGGCATTCATGAGGATTGGAAGGCCTTGCTTCTTGGTCAAGTAGATAATAAAGAGAACAATACGTTACATGTTGCAGGGGAGATAGCTCCTGACTTTCAGCTTGCTCGAATCTCCAGCCCAGCATTGCAGATGCAAAGAGAACTACAATGGTTTAAGGTTATCATTCCACTTACTCACTCTTAACCATAGCAATTTAAGAGGTTGTTTAGTATAACAGTTTGAAATTAGTAGTTAGTGGTTTTGTTTAATTTAACAGTTGATAATTATTATTATTAATAATTTAAACACTCTTATTCACTATATTAAATGAAACTGCTATTCCCCTAAAATTATTCATTTATTTGTTTCAAAAATTAAATCTAATTTGTTATTTTAAACATTAATATATATGGTTTTGTGAACTAAATGCAGGAGGTGGAAAAAATTGTTCCAGAATGGTGCAAAGAACATAAAAATCATAATGGTGAAACCCCTTACGAAGTATTTTCCAAGAGCCACAAGGAATTAGTGAAAGAGGGGGGGCAATGGATGCGAAACACAGCAGAGTCCTTCATTATCGTCGGTACTCTCATTGTTACAATTATGTTTGCAGTCGCTTTCACCGTACGAGGTGGCAGCGATCAAAACACTGGATTTCCGATTTTTTTACTAAAAAGATCATTTATGATATTTATAATATCTGATGCAATTTCCTTCTTTGCTGCATCAACTTCAGTCTTAATGTTTTTGGGAATCCTAACATCGCGTTTTGCCCAGGAAGATTTTCTTGTGTCCTTACCCAGGAAGTTGATCATTGGCCTCTCCACTCTTTTTATTTCTATTGCAGCAATGATGATTAGCTTTTCTGCAGCTTTTTTGATCATGCTACAAGATCGATGGTCGGCAATCATTCCCATAATTTTGATGGCTAGCATTCCAGTTACACTTTTTGTATGGTTGCAGTTTCCCCTCCTCCTTAAAATTTTTGTTTCTACGTATACTCCTGGTATCTTTGACAAAAAAATAAAGCCTTGGCTGTAGTGGAAAACAAGTTAGATTGATATTTCCTTTTTTTCTTGTAACATAAGTAAGTAGTTACCCCTCAATGTTAAAATTCCTTAGCTTGTTCTTTGTTAGGCTTGTTGGAACTCTCAATTTCTCTGTTTTATTTGGTTGTGCTATTAGATTTCTTGGTTTTTGTGAGACTTAATCTGTGGTCTACGTCTATGTTCCTTCCCTTTGTGTAAAACAGCATTGGTGTTGTTCGAATATATTTTCAGATTTCTTGCTTTCTTTCCTAGTATATAAGTACATGATTAATTAATGTCTAGAAAATTAAAAAATGGGAGCTAATTTAAGTACAGGTGGTGGGGGAGTGGAAAGTGTACTGGCAGGAAAGTGTGGGCAGGCATTTCCACAACATGGTGGGTACTTTGAAGCAGCAGGTACAAAGGAGGGGTGGGACATAATTTTGTTTGTAGTTCTTTGGACACTATAGCTTGCTAGAAATGAAATTCTCTTTAGTAACACAACACTGGAAGAAGGAAAATTATTTGATTTGTTGCAAGCACATCTTCTTCGTATCAGTGAATCATGGGCGGATCCGCAATAGGTAAGAGAAAAGGGGAAGATCCTTTGATAATATTGCTATGAGAGACTTTAACTGTTTTATTGAGGAAGCAGAGCTAGAAGATTTGCCTCTGGTGGGAAGGAAATACACATGGTTCAGGTCCGATGGCACAGCAATGAGTAGGCTTGATAGATTCTTGATGTCCACAGAGTTCCTCCTCAACTTTCCTGATCTTATTCAAAAAGGTTTGAAAAGAGATATCTCATATCACTGCCCAATCCTACTTGTTAATTCAGGTAAGGACTGGGGACCCAAACCTTTTAGAAGTTTAGACTGTTGGCTTGATCATAAGGAATTTAGCACTTTTGTCCAGGAAAAATGGAATAGCTATAATGTGGAAGGTAGGGAAGGATTCAGATTGAAGGAGAAACTAAAATGGCTAAAGAGTGATTTGAAGGAATGGAACAAGGAGGTTTTTGGTCACATTGATAAGAATTTAGAGATTTTTAGAGATGAGATTAAGATGATTGATGATAAAGGTGAGAATGGTATATTATTAGAAGTCGAGATTGAACAGAGGCGTGCATTCTTCCAAGAATTCTGGGAATGGAGCTCGAGAAAAGACAGCTTGTTGTTCCAAAAATCAAGACAAAGATGGTTGCAAGAAGGTGATGCCAACAGTAAGTATTTTCATGGGTGTATAGTTCGGAGACAGAAAAGGAATGGAATTGAAGGGGTAATGAAGAATAAGGTCTGGATTGAGGATGTACCAGAGGTGAAAAAATATATCAAAGAATATTTTGAGCTCAAATTCCAAGAGGATGAGTGGAGCAGACCCAGTGTAAACCTGAATGGCTTAGAGCAATTGGGCTTAGAGGAAAACAGTTGGCTGATTGCAGAGTTCTCTGAGGAAGAAATTAGGGAGACTGTCTGGAACTGCAATGGGAGTAAAAGCCCAGGACCAGATGGGTTCAACTTCAACTTCATTAAAAGACTATGGCCAACTCTAAAACAAGATATTGTAGCATTTGCAAAAGAGTTTTGGGCTAATGGAAAGCTGGTGAAAGGAAGTAATTCATCCTTCATTGTATTAATCCCAAAGAAGGAGAATCCTCAAGGATTGGGAGATTTTAGGCCCATTTCCCTTATTGGATGCTTGTACAAAATTATCTCCAAACTCCTCGCTAACAGATTGAGGAAAGTGATTCCGCATATCATTAGCCAGAATTAGTCAGCATTTGTTGGTGGGAGACATATTGCAGATGGAATTGTGATCGCAAATGAGGTTATTCATGAAGCTAACAGGAGGAAAAGGCCCACTTTGATATTCAAAGCCGACTTTGAAAAAGCTTACGACAGTGTTAATTGGAATTTTCTTGATTCGATGATGAATAAGTTTGGGTTTTGCTTGAAATGGAGATCGTGGATAAAGGAATGTTTATTAACCTCATCTGTATCAGTGTTGGTAAATGGCAGCCCCACAGAGGAGTTTCGTATGAAGAAAGGGTTGCGACAAGGAGATCCTTTAGCGCCCTTTTTATTTCTTTTGGTTGCTGAAGCATTAAATGGGCTAATTCTCAAAGCAAAGGAGCAAAATCTCTACAAAGGAAGTAAGGTGGGAATCGAGGGACTCGAGATCACACACCTCCAGTTCGCCGATGACTCGATCTTCTTCTGTGAAGCATCAGCTCAAAATATTAAGGCAATTAAAGGAGTGCTTCGAACCTTCGAGTTGGTTTCGGGACTCAAGGTGAACTTCTTTAAAAGTGCTTTGTATGGAATCAATGTGAACCCAGTCGATCTTTGTGACTGGGCTGAAACACTTAACTGTGTAGTGGGCACTATTCCTTTCAAATATCTCGGGATTCCTATTGGTGCTAATCCAAGAAAGCTGTCAACCTGGACTCCTGTTATTGAGGGCCTGAGACGTAAATTGTCTAACTGGAAGTGTGAATCACTGTCCTTTGGTGGAAGAATAGTTCTCTTGAATGCTGTCCTATCAAGTATCCCAGTCTATTTTTTTTTCAACCCTCAGAGCTCTTAAAAAGGTACTTAACCTTCTTTCCATGATTCAAAGAAGATTTTTATGGGAGGGTGGAGAGGGTGTTAGGAAGATAGCATGGGTTAAATGGGATAAAGTATGTAGAAATAAAAAGGAGGGAGGTCTAGGTGTTAAGGATTTAGATAGATTTAATTTGGCACTCTTAGGAAAATGGCGATGGAGACTAGTGGTAGAAAAAGATGCATTATGGAATAAGGTGGTTGAGGCAAAATATGGGGTTCATAGGAGAAGGGATTGGGTGGGGAAGGAGGTGAAATCTAATTGCTCCTCTTGGTGGAAGGCACTTTGGAATTTAGATAAAGACCTCAGAACTAAGGAAGGATGGGTTCATAAAGGTATGGTGAAGACCATGGGGGAAGGGAATGATACTCTATTCTGGCATGAAAAATGGTGTGGGGATATGTCCTTTAAGGAGAAGTTTAATAGGTTATTTAGGTTGGCAGAACATAAGGATGTGCTGGTTAAAAATATGGGAGAATGGAGGGA